TCCTGGTTGCTGAGATGAAAGTGGGTGACAAAATGCACTCGTTTTCCGAACACACACAGACAGCCTTTCGACAATATGCGGTTTCGCTAAAGCGCTGCTACAGCCAGCAAAAACGCATATTGTCGAAAGGCTGTCTGTGTGTGTGTGTTCGGAAAGCGAGTGCGTTTTTGCGAGCGCTGTACAGCAAAAACGCATACTGTGATTTGAAGTGAAAGAAGAGAATACCAAAAAACTACAGTACCTCATGAGATGTTGAGCAACTGCCACCACAATGCGTTGTTTGCGGATACGGCCGTGTCCTGGAGTGCAAAATGTGTTCATGAATCGTAGCTGTAATTGCTGTATTGTACGCATAATCGAACGCTAGTTCCACGTCACCCTGCACAATCAATGACCGTATAGCGGCGATCAGCACTCGGAGACCATCGACTGCAATCGGATTCGGTTGCATTAATTGGCAAAGACGATGCGATACTGCAGGGGCTCCGTTCGAATGCACCGATACGACGGCCAGTGGTACCGCAAGGAAAAGGCATTTGTTCGACAAATTGAGAATATTTCGATGCGATGCATTCGCAAGCACCAGCTGTTCAACCTGTAATCCAGAAAAGTTGTGCGATTTGTTTCTGGCACAGTTACGGCAATAATTAAGAGGTGGTGTACTGGGTTGTTAGAAGGCAACATTAGCTGGCTTTCATCTTAAAATCTACTAGATCACCTGGAAATGGAGTGAATTGCCACATACAATCTTAAACCGCCATGAGGATTTTCTTAATAGTGAATACGAAGAATACCAGAATTGCCCACAATAGTAAGTATATCGTGTTAGTAATGTTACTGGGATGCTCCCACACACCGGGCGCAGCTATGCCAGATCCTTCGATCCTGTACTGCATGCGTTCAGTTGGTACCTACCGCCCGTTCGATATATGTGTCCCAACTCTTCGAAGACCAGCCGAATGGTCGTCAATTTTCTGGACAGCGTAAAAATACTGTATTTACTGAGGCATTCAGAAAACTCTAGGCAGTGGAATTCCGCCAAGCAACAGGAACTATCGGATGCTAGATATCAGCGATCATAGCCCAGTAAGCATGACTAAAACGAGTCATCTCTCAAAAGTAAGAGGTATAAAGGTGATGTTCTGGTTATTACTTTTGTGAAATAAAACTCCGCAAAAGCAATAACCGTCAAAGGCAAAATTTAGTGTAAGGATGCAGAAACCAGTGATATGTGTTAAAATTTATTAAAAAAGACCAAGAAAGTAAAATCAAAAATAAAGGAAAAAATCAAGCAAATCTTAAGATAAAGCTGAAAAAGACTGTTTTGATTGGTGCCGTCAAATTCGAGATGCGTTGTTTTTTTGTCAAAGCTTACCTCTGAACTGTATTTTAAGTATGAGGCAAATATGTCATTTTAGTTGAAGTTTTAACGAGGTTTAAGAATCCCCCGTCTAAGCGGCTTTCCTCATACGTAACTAGCTGGATTTTCAGCTGTGGTACCTCCTGCTCATCCAGTGTTGGCTGAATTGTAGCATGGCGACAGTGAGGTTTGAAGCTCAGTGCATTGATCATTGTTTCATCCATATACAGCGGATTCGAATTGGACCATCGGATCAGCTGCCGAATGATATCGTGCGTTGAGACTTTCTCTATTCGACACAGCGATCGTGCTACAATCATGCAGATTTCGCTACTGTCCGATACCTGGAAAGTACGATCGTTTTT